CGCGCAAATTCTCCTTTCACATACGCCGGAGTCTCAACCTCTCCAAGAAAGTTTTGGTGGAAAAAATGTTATTCGGGCCAGAAAAGTAGGAGGCTGACGATCTCAGGTGAGTGTTTTCTGCCTATTCATAGGCCTCATAAACCTAATTTAGTTCATATATTTGTCGAGGTCTCACGTCCGGCTACGTAAAAGTTTTGGCGCAAAAGCCAGGAAGTAAGGAGGTTGATTTTGGAAGGACGTTCACTATCCAAGTTTCCAAAATCAGCTTTCACATACCGCATGTGAAACTTTTAGTAGGAAATTTCGTGACTTGGACACCAAACAATATTTTAACTATTTTTGCACACGCCAAACAACAGTGAAAATCTTTAGCAGGCAAATGTCCGCTGGACGGAACTGCGCAAAACGCATGATCGCTCCAACTCCCTTGATACACGCTGTTATTACATTTTAATTATGGCATGCGTGAACTGGTGACTTGAAAATATAATGAAATGCTTCCGTTATTCAAAGATTGCCGACAACATTCAGCCAGCGTCAAGGAAGAAGCCTCAGGCCACACTAATTGCCTGGCTGGCAGAGAATAAGAAGCTAAGAAATTGACGATTTTTCTGTCCGCTCCGAGATTTTGGAAAGATGTTCTTCCGAAGAGTCTGCCGTTGTCCCTTCATCATCTTCATCTTCGTCAGTATCATCACTTTCGCTATAAACATCATCATCACCATCATTGCTCCTGTCATCTTCATGATCATTTTGATTTTTATCATTTCCGAATTCTTCTGCTGCATCTCCATTATCCGATGCAAATGTGCTGCCGATGTGGGCGACAGCTTCCCGGACACCCTGGAAACATGAAATGATCACAGGGTGAGCATAAAAGCAAGCAGTATGCTTGATGTCATGAAACTGATTTTTATTTTGGTGGCGACTTCTGGCAAAAGGGCGAGAGGGCCCTCTTGTCCTATTTTCTTTCCTGCCATTTCGGTTGTGTGGTAGCATCTTACATGAAAATAAGTAATTAGTTATTTTTCTACGCTCAGTTTGCTGCCAGGATAGGATCAGCCGGAGTTTTGATGCGGAGCCCTACAACGCAGCAGCAGTGGCCGTCTCATCCTGTTTTCAACCTGTCAAGATCATCGTTTTATCTGAAAGTTGACTCGCGTACCATTGCTGCTGCGAATCACCACAGATGGAGAGAAGAGCTTTTTGAAGACAGGTGACTTCAAAAGCCAAGGCAATCGGGATTAGGGCCAAACTGCTGGGATGAGTGTAAAAGTAGAAATGTACAGCCATTTCGTCAAAAAAAAGTATTAACTGTTCCTTCATATCGTTCGGGTAGTTCGGAAATTAAGTGCTTCTGAAAATTAGCTTTCTTCTGCGTCGCAGTTTTTGCTCGTGACATGGTTTCGCTGTATTTTCGCTCAAACCTAAAGAAACATCGAAACAGTTAACCTGCTAAGTGAAAGGGATTTATCCAAGACTTTTTCAATCAGTCAAAATAGTGCCTTGGAAAAAGCTTCCTTGTGCTTCTTGCTAAAAACTTTTGGCAATGCCGTAACAAGGGTAGACTTTGATTCGGAAATCAGACTCAAATCCAGTCTTTCTATAAGAATTCAGCACATCAAACAAAACCACAAAATAACGAATTTCAGGATTCAAATCACCAAGTACTGCGAACTGGAGGATTTACGATTAACTCGTCAAACAAGTCTACTTCCTAATTCGCAGGCTTACTGGCAAATCTAGGCAAAGCTGACCAGAAACTTGGATCGAATATAGTTTTCTTGTTCCTTAGCTTGCTGTTCAAGTTTAGAGCTGATCTGTTACTACAGTTGGAAAACCGGACAAACCACAAACTCTTGCTAGTAGTTTATGGCCACAGAATTTGTCAAAAGCACAAATTGTGCTTTGTGCGAATCAACGGATCCAACAATATGTGTCAGATCAAACTAAGCATATCATCGTTTTGGCCCACACAGGGCACTTTTTCATTCTCCAGCTCTAGACTGCCAAAATGTAACTCTCGAGAAAACGAAATGAGAGATTACTGTTGTTTTCTGATGAGCATTTCTTGTTGTTCGACAATCAGTGCCCGACTCATTACGCGTTTTTTCATTGCTTCAAGTTCGTCATGGTACTGCAATGCTCGCAGATGTTCCTCCTTCCTGCATAACAGTGAGGAAATGCATAAAATATCCATCTCAAAAACAGATTACTGCTAGCGCCATTTAGAGTACACTACTCCTTTTCAATACTACATCTAAACCTAATCAGTACGACGGCTGTAAAGCAACAATTAATTAACCTTTTTTCTTCCAGTCGTCGTTGAATCCCGCGCAGTCCATTCACTTCGGCTGCAAACTTTTGCTTCAACTTCATTCTTGCCAGCTCACCGCGTTCCCTCACTGTTTCCCAAAATTTTCGCGAAACATTTCGTTCTAGTTTCATTCTTTGAGCCCGTATCCTACACCAACATAACATTGGCTTTTTAAAAGCGTGAAGGGAGCAGCAATTCAGATATTTTTAATTCAAATTTTTCTCCACGTCTTACTTTCTGGAAGAAGACGGATATCGCTCGTAACCCAACTGAAGCAACCACCCGATGCGGGCAGAGGCCCTGTATCAACGAATGCTTTAAAAAGTTGAATGCACTGGTCCTAACACGCAAATTGTTTGCAGCCAAAACGACTCATGAAGGCATTTCCTTGCACCATAAGAATTGGGCATTGCACTTCAGTAGTCATCACCAGAGATTTCTGTTATTAAAAGCAATGATTAAATAGCGAAATTTATAAGAAACGATGCTTTATCTTACAGGCTACCTGTTAGCTTCACTGCGTAAAATAGTAGCATGATTGAGACGAATATCGGGTCCGCTGTATTCCCGTAAATTTCCTGCAGAATAGCTGCGTCGACGTATGCCAGTCTCAGCTGACCGAGCATCATGTCTGCACTTAAAGCAACTAATTCCAGTTCAAAGCAAGCACGCTGTAACCCCTTTGATGTCATTACATTAAAAGCAGTGAAATCCGAATGCAAAACATTTTCGCCGATGAAAGCAAAGAAAGGATACCGGCTGTGGCCACAGCAAGACAGCGTTGGAACAAAAAAAAGCTGAGGTAATTCTGACTATCTAAAAATGAAACGCTACGGTGAAGTAACAGGCGTGATAATATCGTGAAAATTAATTGTTGCTGGAGTAAATACATTCAAAATAGAAACATATGATGAACATTGCTTATCAGCAGACGGTGCTTGCGGAACAGGAATCAATCCGTGACGATGGCGCGCGTATTTCGTTAATATTTGAAAAAAAAAAAAAACCTTAAATCAAGCGGTGTGGGACACGGGGGCACGGCTTAGGTATACTGCCGGCGTTCCCGAGAGCTACGTTCACTTTTTGAGATCCGTATTTTGTGTTGCTGCATTGAAAATTTCGATTTAAAACCTTTGTATACAATAGTTTTTTGAGTTAAAATATGAGATATAAAGACAGTAAGAATAGAGCTTACACCATCTCGTAGATATACGTGCAAATAAGCAGTGTGTGTTTCATCCTGCAGCTGT